TTATTCGCCCAACTAGAAGAACTTAGAAGAAGGAAGGAAACGATGGTTTTTTTTTAGCCCCCACATAAACATCATTCTCTAATAAAAAGAGCCAGCGCTCCTTGAAGAAATAGTTGAGTTCAGGGCTGAAGCAGAGGAAAAACAAGATAAACTCAGAATATCTTGTAATGCCAGAAAATAATGAAGTGCTTTAAAAGGATGGGGGTGGGGGGAGCATGTTGAAAGGACAGATTCAACCTGAAGGAGTTGAATTATAACCCATATAATAAAATAAATATCCATTATTCTACTCTGATATAAATAAATAAATAATGAATGAATGAATGAATGAGGGAAGGAGGAGAGCAGCTCATGGAAATCGCCATTAAATAAACACCATGGTAATAACGGTTGTTAACAAGATCCACTAATGGGTGCTAAAGTTGAGGAGAAATAGGATATTTGCTCAATCTCACATTATCTCCTCTAAGATATTTATTAATTACCAAAGGAAAAGTAGTAATTTTTCAATGGAGACATTCAATAGACAGCACTTCAACCAAGTGCTCAAGGTAAACATCACCAATAATAAGACGCATCAACAACACGTATCCCTTGATAAGATGCACCAAGAATGACACAGCTCTTCTGTGGAATTTTTGCAAAAATGCATAACCTCATCCTAACCATGAGAAAACATTAGACAAACCCATACTGAAGGAGATTCTACAAAACAACTGCCCAAAATGTCAAGGTCATGAACGATAAGGAGACACTTTGAAGGACTGTCACAGAGTTGAGGAGACTAAAGAGACCCAATGATTTAGTGCAATGTGGCATCCTGAAAAAGTAAAAGGACCTCAGTCAATAGCACTGCCAATTTTAATTTCCTGTTTGTGATTACTGTAACATGGATGTTAACATTAAGGGAAGCTGGGTAAATATATATGGGAGCACTCTGTATTAGTTTTACAAAGTCTAAAATTATTTCAAAATAATTTTTAAAAAAATTACTGGCTTAGGGTGGTGGGCAGGGGACAGGTGTCCTGGGGCCTCTTCTTTTCACCCTGCCCCCATACTCCAGCCTGGAGCACCCCCGTTTATTTTCCTTGTTCATGTCACAAGATGTCTGACCCTGAGATGAGCCTGACCAACCCATCCTTAAGAAAGACCCTGGTGCCAGACAGCAGGAATTCTGACTAAAACATTCTGGTGCCAGATTCCCCTCACGGTCTCCTTTTTTGCACCCCTGCTAGCTATGGTCAGTTCTCCATATGGGCCCATAAAGTCTGTTCTAAACAGAAAACAGCTCATGTCACTCCCTTGCTGAAGACCCTCCCAGTGTTCCCCATCTCACTTAGGATGAAATCCCAAAGCTACAGTCCGAATCCTGGCCACAAGATCCCACATGACCGGCTGCTGACCACCTTTGCATTCATGCCCACCTTCCTCTCAGCTCACTCTGCCTTCGCCCCCCAGGGCCTTCTTACTGGTCCTCCAACAGGCCAAGCACACCTCCTCTGAGGACCTCTGCATGTGCGGTCCCTCTGCCTGGAAAGCTCTGTCCCCCACTGACCGCCTAGCTGCCCTTTCCTCGATCAGGTCTCTGCTCAGCGACGCCTCCTCTGACAGGTCTTGGGTGACCACTCCCTCTCCCCTTGCCATACTTTAGTCTTCCTTTGTAGCACTTCTCACTACCTGACATCATACTACATATGTGTAAAATCTGTTTTTTATATTTTTTTGTTGTTAAATACACACTTTTTAGAATTAGTTTCAGTTGTACAACATAGTACAATAGTTATACTTTTTACCCCTTGAAGTGACAACCTCCCT